GTTGGTTAAGTGTGTTGGCTTAATGTCGATAAATTTCCAACAAGGCTAAATCACTTAACATAAATTGTAGGCTGACTATACAAACTAAAATGAGAAAATTTTTTTTCATGAGAGAACTAAAGCAAAAATTATGGAAGAAAATGTTGTTTGATTTAAAAATTCATATCTAACGCACAGTTTCACGAAGGAAGCACAATATTTTTAAAAATGCTATTTTATAACCATGAATCTTTTATATTTCAGATTTGGCAATCGTAAGGTAAAAACTACAATTTAAGCGTTTTAGTATAAAAGTTTTTTTTTCAAAATAGACGGTGATTTACAGCACTTGCACTTAGGAATAATTTGCTCTCAAAACTATATACTTGTTATTATTGCGTGGTAAAGGGAATTAGGTGATTGCACGTATCTCAATAATTTTTTCACTAGAAAAAGTGTTTATTGGAAAAAATTGGTGCAATATCCATTAAATAAAATGTTTTCAATAATTTTCTACAACGTTTTCCCATCCTCCTGACAACATGGCGATAGCATGCTGAAGGAACGATTGGTTTGCCATCAAGCCAATCATCGACCCATTTTTGCACTTCATCAGCATGCCGAAATCGCGTGCCAGTCACGCCATGCTACGTTGATCTGTACAAGTGTTAAGTGAGAAGGCGCTATGTCGGTTGAGTACGCTAGGTGCAGCAGAACTCCCCATTCAACCTGCATTAATATATGCTTGATAATTTTTGCAACGTGTGGCCGAGCGATGTCATTGCTGCTCTTTTTTGCAACAATGCGTCGTTCAACTTGTTCATTTAATGTCGGCAAACATCTCCAGCAACAGTTTCATTTGGTTTTAGCAGTATTTTAGTATTAACACCACACCGTGCTGATCCCACCGTATGTACAGCAAAACTTTATGACCATGGATATTCCGTTTCGGTGTCGATGTATCTGGGAAACGCATGACTTTTTGCACTTGGAATCGTCCTTGTAGATCCACTTTTCACCGCCAATCATAATGCGCCGTCAAAAACTCTTCTTCTTTCGCCTGAAAAGCAATGAAACTGCCATGTTGCAACGGTTCGAATTTGCATTTTTACTTAAAGTGCGCGGCAGCCGTTTTCCTTCCCTATGGATCTCTCACATCGAATGTAAACTCCCAAAAAGACTTGATTCACCAATTGCCAAGTTGTTCGAAGGCTGTTTGAGAGCTTGGGTTTTTAAGTTGGCTTGGGGCCTTGCAAATAGAAAATGGTTTACAACATTTCATTCCAAAATTTTACTCTTGCACATTCTGATTCTCCTTGAAAGGTGTTGGATGAAAAAGTTTATAGTTTACTGAATGCGCAACCCCAGGAGAGTCCTAATAAACACCAAATAGTCGAATTAAGTGACGCGCTTGAGGAAAAAGACCATTTATGGGCAAAGGAATTTGAAGAGTGATTTTGTGCCATGATAACGACCGCCACAAGCAGCAAAGGCGGGAATGGAAATGTCGGCGAAGCCGACCGGAAGCTATTCACGACATTGTAAAAGATCGTTGACGGATATGCTGAATATTTCAATTTTTATGCTTTGATAAACTTGAGTTTTATAAAAAAAAAAAAGGAAACTTATTTATATACTTTTAATATTTTTCTCCTTCAACGCGTAAAAGACTGCGCTGATTACAAAACTGAGAGTGTGCACCCATATCGATTTAAATTCATTAACATATTAAATGCGTTATATGGAACTGTTCAAAAACAACATCCACGTACATGTCTTTAAGTGTTTTAAAATGTTAGAAGAGATTCATTGAGGAAACAGAGTGTAATTTTTCTTGTTATTCTTCATTTTGTTATCTATTTTACCCTAGCGGTTTCGATTTATAGGCCTCACGTCACGAGTAAATTAACTAAGAAAACTTTTATTTTTATATCACCACTATTTTGCGAAAAAGTTGGTAACACGCAAAGGAAACTTTCAGAGATCCCAGTAAGTGTACGTTTGCTTTAAGCGATTCATTTGTTAAGCATACTTGCATTTCAATGTTTAAACTGTGTTAAAAAGCATGTTGTGACCTGTAGATGCTGAAATTCAGCACTCTGAACGTGAATGTGGTTCGTCATAACCTACGATATTCATCGAAGCAGTAGAATGATATTTCCAGGAAAATCCCCGACGAACAATATGCGGATAGGCGAAATAATATCGAATTGCAGAAATATTTCAAACGAGATAACGCATTTTCGATGAATATCGACTTTGTTATATGGATGATAGATCTATCTTTCTAGAATCTTTCGTTTGAGCAAATGTTCTCATAAATGAAATGATTTTAATTCGCTTCGAAGTGGAGAGTTGTTGAGCAAATCAAGGAACAATAAAGTCTACAAATTCAAGAGATTAAATTTGCAAAAAATTGAAGATACATTTTTTGTGTTGCAGTGTAAATTTGAATTATTTCGTTTAGTTCGTTTAATTTAATTAATTTAGTTTTTATAAAAGACTTTTCCCCTCTTTCACTGTTTATGCAGGCAACGCATTATCACTCCCTTTAGATTTGTAACCATAATTACCTGCCTATAAACTACCACTATCTCGTACGTGTCTAAAACTGTGCATCATTATATTATTTATAACATCTGCATAATGGAATTTTTAATGCCATCCAAACTGTCGTTCAATCATAGTTTGTTCATCGTCAAATAAGGGTACGCATGTACATTGTTACCATATAACATATGCGAACTGTAACACTGACTTTTGTGTAGTGAATTTCCTTTCCACATTTGCTACATTATCCGTACGTGTATTGTATAATACTTTTGGAACAAACGTATAACATGTCCTCATTGTGTTGTAATGTTGCCTATTTGATGGATCTCTATCTATCGCTTCATACCGTCATATATAACCAATTTATTATTAATTATTACATATGTATGCTTATATACGCACATGTGCAAATGTTTATACGAATAAATAAGCCATCGGAGGTTATTTGGATATTGAATTATTCATATATTATATAGGCGAGCACAGAGCGATGCGAAGGGATTAAGAAATTATGAAATTGTTTTTTTATTTCAATTTTTCAATATTTTCAATCAGGTAAGTGTTCTGTAGTGGATTAGATGAAGTAAACAGTCCTAAATGGTTTTATTGAATTTATGAATTAAATAAACAATGTTTATTATAATAATATCATCCGTTCTTTTTTTATACAATTTCTATTTAAAATTAATCTGACCAAAAAAGAGAAAATTTCAAGCAGCTAAGAGCAGCGTCTTTCATACGTGTTTCAAAGTGATTGATTAAAAAGTCTTTAGCTTAGACTACAGTAACTGGCCGTTAAGGGGAGAAGGCACCGTAAAATTATCGGAAAATCAATGTTTTTTATTGTTTTAAAAGCTTTAGGTGATATAAAAAAAAATTGGGCGATTGGACAATTTCAAATTCGATTTTGGACAATTTCAAATTGAAATTTGGACAATTTCGAATTGAAATTGTCCAAACATTTTATTTTCCGAACGTAGTTGTATATGCAGTCACCGATGCTCGAAATTTAAAATGCAATAGCTTAAAGCCAACAACTGTCGTTCTTTTCAGTCGGATTTTCTAAAATATCTAAAATTACATTTCAAAGACAACTCCGTAGGATATTTTTAAGTTATACTTTATTATTAAAAAAAAGGCTTTGCCTGTTTTCGGTCGAAAATTGAAGAGGTTCATTTGAGCAAATTCTTCCAAATCGCAGAAACCTCAATATTTCTAAATTATCATGCATACTTTTTTAGACATGCATACGTGACTAAATTAGTGCCCTTTTTTTTAAATTCAAATGAAAAGTTCTTAAATTAAAGACACTGCTTATCTGAGATGACTTATTCTATTAAGTTTCGAAAATCTTATCTTTCATAAATTTTGAGAGAGAGATTTAAATAATCCAAAATTCTTTTTCTTCCCATTTTGATTTTTAGCGTCACTTACACTTTTCGGGTCGACTAGTAACGTCATACTCGTATTTTGCACTATTCGAGTTGGAAATTTCACCTCGCTTTTTACTCTTCTCTGCCTGAATAAAGAGAAAAGAATGTGCTCCTCTTATTATACGGTTCATATGCATGGTAAATTAAATTATGTCTCTCTCTGTGCGCTAGCCACGCCTTCAACACGGATATCACAGTTTTCGCTGTAAGTATCGGGCTTCAATCTTCCGTCATAACGTAATTTTAGAAGTTTGCTTTTTCCCCACAATCTTATGTGGAGAAAATTCAGTTCGCGAAATCTGAACGGACGATGAATCTAATTGTATCTGAACGATGCTCTTCTTTGTTAATGTTGCAAATTATGAAACCTATTACCACTCAAAGAAGAAAATGCCAAGAAAAAGTTTCTTTTTTTTTGGGCGATTACAAGTGACTGCCTCCCTTACATCAATTCATAAAACCTATTCCAAAGATTTTCTTTGTCTTTCTGTCCTATAGGATAGACCTATGAGGATATGTTACAATGGTCATTCTGGAAGATATATGCCATCAAGTTTTGGACTTATATCAAAGCAACCCAAAACAACCACGGCACGCCTTCCTTTTAATTTAGAAACGTGATAACGCATACAACTTTAACGGATTATTTTTCATTTCCATACAACTTCAACGGATTACTTTTCGTTTCAATACAATTTCAAAGGATTATTTTTTTATTTCTCGCCTATCCGCATTTTTTCAATGCTCTTATTGTGCTTGTGCTTTTAATTCATGGTTAAGTGCACAAGACTCTATCTCTGATTTGGAATTAGTTTTAAAGCAAATTTAAAAAAAGGATGGATAATTTATAAACAGGTTGTAAGAATTTAAATATTATAAAATCTCTGTAATCATGTAAATTGCGGTATAGCGGTAAAAACTTCTTGTTTAGATCTTCACATTCGTTTAATGCCTATTTAATATAAACTTTAAAAAGATGAGATATGAAAATGAATGATTGATTGGTTTATTTATTTTCATCAGTTTTTTACTTACCTTTGGCAGATAAATTCAAATACATTAATAAAAGTATCCATGAGTATTTATTAAGTCCTCTAATTGTCATTGATAATTTGCGATACGGACTGCTGCAACATCTGGCGCATTTTGTTAAGCAATGGCAATACGATAGTTGCCGCCACAGTTGTAGCGGTGGCTGCAGAATATTTAACAGTTGATGTATCAATTGATTTGGCAGTGTTGTGGCAGCTATAGCAACACTCCTTATATGTTCTGTGGTCGTTGACATGATGGTGCTGATGTTCGCATAAAACACTGTTATAGCGGTTAAGAGATGAACAGTGATTAAATTAAACTTAGTAATACTGTTATTAAGTCTCTGACGTAAATTTAATGCTAAATTGGTTTCGGTTTGTTGCTGTTGCTGTTGGTGTTGTCGTTGCAGATGCCATTGCCGTTCTTGTTGCTGTCTTTGTTGGTATTGGAGTTGTAAATCTTGATGATGAAGGCCATGATAACTATATTGTTTTTGTCGATGATGATGGTAATGGTCTCCTTGATATTGTTGTAACGGCGATCGTTCTATCGCTTCATTTGTTTGAAGACTTTTGTTATTAGTTACAATGTCTACGTCTGTTGATTTCTTAGTTGATGCGATAGGTAATGTGACTTGACGTTGTACAGCTAAGGCAGTTGTAAGCTTTTCAAAGGATTTTCTTTTACGCTTTCGCCTTAGACGCCGCTTACGGAGACCCAGTCTTAAACTATAGTTTTCGCAATGTTGCCGTTGCTTTGCTTGTTGGTTATCTTGCATTTCTTTTTGCTGATGTGTTGTTGCTTTATATGAATTACCATTGCTAATAGTTGTGAAGTTACAAGTCTCTTGATTTTGAAAAAACAATCTCCTCGAATGTTGCTGTTGCTGTACTGATGGCGGTTTTTCTTTGCTTTTAAAGTATTGAAAATTACATTTCCTTCTATGGCTAGATAAAACTTTAAAGCTCTTCATGCTTTTCCTGCGGCATGTCTTGGGTGTCAAATAGAGTTGTCTTTTGTATAAATCGTTGTGTAATAGCATCGTAAATAATTTATGACGTTAATTTTGCTAAGTTTCGTAAAGATGTTTTGTTGTTGTTTTTGTGTTTTATTTAAAGAAAAAACATTCTTTGATTCGTAAATGGCGAGTATATGAGTGTTTTTCTAGTATTACATATTAATTTTAATATTATTATTGTTGTTTGTTGTATTAATATTAATTTTTTTAACTTATTATCTAGAAATGTTACAACCCAAGAGTTCTGTGGTTTTTTGCATTGATTTTCTAATTTGGTTTCCTTATGCGGTTTAGTTCAAGTAACTAATTTTATACTTGCGCTTTCTGCTTGGTTTTATTTTGTTACTTGTATGATATTTCACTCATCTGCAGCTGGTGCTTTAAAAAAAAATAACAAATTTCCCTTATCCTGGTTCTGTATCCGACAATGAATGATATAAAGAAATGATGGCTTACAGCTATGCAATTTCATATTTATTTCTGTGATCGTGGCAGTGACGTATACTTTAATATTAATTGCTTTTTTTTGGTATTGTGGTCAATCTGAAAAGAAAAAGTTAAGATCAAGTAAGGTTTACAAATTAAAAAAAAATAAAAAACAAAAGCTTACGTAAATACTCAAAAAATTATCAAAGTCGTTTAGTACATTGTTTAAAAATGTAATTATTAAACTTATTATATTTTTACCTATAAAGAATTAAATTCAAATAACTTATCCTCTAATTCTTCATATTTCTTATACTGTTTTATGTACGTTTTCAGCATACTAGGTTAACGCTTGTTATAAGAAGCAGATTAATGTTTAACCAACCAAAAAAACCTAACAAGTGCTTACCCAAAAATTGTGCAATCGTTTCAATATAAATTAAGAAGAGTTGAATCTTCATAATTTATGCTGCTTTGTTAAAGTGCTTTTAAATTTTGAGAATTTATTTAAATTTGAGCATAATTTTTTTCATCTTTTTCTCCTGCATTAGGGTTTGCCATTCCTTTAAATACGCTTCTACTTCTTTCATGGTTTTTTTCTTGCCCTTTCACGATCATCTATATACATGTGTTCGCATATAACTTACCATCATAGGCCCACCATTATCTTAACCAAATGCTGCATTAAGATAAAAGACAAACACAGTTTATTTTGCAGAGAGGCTGCATTGAAATGGAGTCATGTGCAGATAAGTTGTGTTCTATCTCTTGCATAATGTCAATACGGAATTTATTTTTTCATTAGCTTTATCTGCATCGAGAGAAGTATAAATAATTTTCTTTTTGCTATAATCATAAATTTACTTTCAATAATACAAAACGATACAATACACAGTTCGAATCGCCAAAACGAATATAGAATAATACAAAAAAAATTGATCGAACAAATTTGGGAGAAAACATTTAGTTAAGAAGATTTCGAATAAGTATTTGTTCAGATTCAATTGGACTTCTTCTCCGTTATTAATTATTAATTGCCTTGTGTATCTTCTTAGTTAAAAAATCAACTTGGTGTAAGAAAATTCGGATTTGAAAAGCATTGAAAAACCACACGTTAAAGTCAATACTTCGAAAGCCCCTAAAGACTCCTCTAAAGATGCCTTTTACCAATTTTTCAGTAAGCATTTAATTCCTTTTTCTTAATGTTTGCAGTTTCTTTTCGAATATATGTATTTTTCTTGTGAAATGTTTAATTTCAAATATCATCGATTTACGCTCCGCGGTGCTACTAAAGAATCCTCTCATGCCTATAAAGACTTGCTAAGAATTTTATTGCAAAAACATACGGAGCACGTACACGGAAAAACTAACAATTTCTTCATACACTTGCTGACATGTAATGCTTCTCTTGGCTTCAGTCATACATTTAATGAGCTTAATCTAGCGGTTTTCATCAAAAATGCATCATCGTTGCGATACGGCAATGACAGCAGAAAGTAATTTGGCACTCAAGTGATTATTTTCACCCTGCTGTGTAAGTTTAGTATGGAACTTTTAGGTACGCGACTTGAGTCGATAAAAGTCGACTGGCTAATCTTCGGATTTGATAATAAAAACAACATTTATACACTAAAAAAACAATTAAAAAAATTGATTGAAAAGGAGAGAAGAAAAAACCAATATAAAAGATCCTAAGGCATAGAAAGATGCAAATGAGCGCCAGACAATGATTTAATTAGTTTTCTATAAAATTTGTGAATATGTTTAGGAATAGATGCCTTTTGAAAAATTCTATGCCTTAAGCTTGTGAATTTTAATAAATATGTTAAACTTAGTTTTAAAAAGAAATTAACTCAACAACTAATCTTTCATGTGCAACAGTTTTGTACAAAATAACCTTCTACGTCGCTATATGAGAATGTGTAGAAATTCGCTTATTTATGGATAAAACCATTAAAATTTAAATAAATGAGTGACAGTTAATGCGTAAAGCTGCTAAAAGAAAGAAAAACGAAAAAGAAAAGGATGCCATGCCGTGGCATTGCCAGCATGCGGAGTACAATTTTTTGTTCATTCTTTGCCTATACATGCATATTGCATTAGGTTGACATTGACTGCTTGGTAGGCATGCATGGCAAGTGTACAAATACAGATAACAGAAAACAAATAGAAACATACAAAATGTAAAATGATACAATTTCTCTCTTACATGAGGAAAATTTATATCAAAGTAATTATCGAAAATGCAAAAATTTGTCAGTTGAAAAGTTAATTTAAATAAAATGAAATATTAATGAGTTATTTCAAATAAACTTGCGACAATTACACGAATGAAAATATTTCAAATAGTTTTTGCTTGCGCTTAAAAGCATACCATCGTACTGTAATTATCGATCAAGCCAGAAAGTAGGCAATTGTTGCGAGCTATTTTAAACACCTTACAAGCTAACAATTACTATCAAATTAATAACGAACTTTCATTCAGAATTTCAGTTAAATTCTTTTTCCCATTTTTATGTTGCTTGTAAATATTGTTGTCTTGTTGTCTTGATGTTGGCAGAAAGCCAAGCCAAATAAACTTAAGCATTTAACCTTAAGGGCAAAATGCTATACAATTCGTTGTTGTGGTTTTGGTGTTGGTAATGATGCTGGTAAAGGCAACTCGGCACAACATATTATAGACATTAACAATTGTAGAACATTTAACATTTGCCGGTTGTTGAGCATGAAAGAGGAGACAAAACCTAAAAATAATAATAACGAAAAGGTGTAAAACGTTATATTGTCTGCAATATTCCAGCCACACACGCGACAAATTAAATGTCTAGCAAATCAAAACCGTAAAAAAAGTGATATTATTTGTTGTTGAATGCTGCTGCATATTTGTCCATGCTGTAGTGCCCACATTTTCTATAACATCAAATGTAACAGCGACAGCTTTGGCATAAAAACGTTATGCCAGCGAGCAATGCATTTTACATTATAGTGTAACGCAATATATATTTTCCGCTATGGTGAGCAGTATTTTCTATCTTTTTATGAAAAAGAAAATGGCGACACATTACAGCTAAATATACTTCAACATACTTGTGCTTCACAAAGGAATAAAACAAAACGAAAAAAAATAAAAACTTTTATGGTGAGAATAGAGTGGGAAAGGCAAAACTGACAAAAGGGAAATTAGATTAATCTGAAGCACACTAGTAGTAGTAGTAGTAGTAAAAGTTAAGCTTTGCAAAGATCATTAGCTGAAGTTACTTAGCGCCTTGTGGGTTGTTTTTATCCTAAACATTAAAATTTTTAATTAAAATTTTCTTTCTTAACTTTAAAAGAATACATATTTCATTGCTACGGTTAATTTATTCTCTTCGATATTCTACCTCCAACAATCAACATATTTCTATTAAGCAGGGCCACGTGGCTAGAGGGGGATATACTTTCCTGACTGAATATAAGCAATAATTTTCATCTTAATTCGTTAAAATTTTCGGACGAATTTTTGGTAGCTTTAAGTGGTTCATGTAATACATAGCTCTTGCGCTGACAAGACTTAGCTGAACGTAACATTTTCATTAAGAATAATCTTTTGGATGTAATGTGGAAAAAGGAATCTTGCCCAGTAAAAAATTAAGATATAGTTCGTTTATTTAATAACATGTCGCATAGCAAAACTTGGCCTAACTTTACACTGTTGACTTTTAGTTTTAATAAGAAGTTTTACTAAATTTGTTTAAGTTGTCCGAAATATATTCAAAGCTTAAAAAAATTCCTTTAAAGAAAAGGTTTTTCAAATTTATAAGCTCTAAAATTTTATTTATTTTTTATATTTGAAATTTTAAAAACTTGTACTTCCTTGTCATTGGTAGACGTGCTTGTACTCGTCATCATAAACACACCGAAATATTTTCTTCATAAACGCATTTAATGTAAATATTTGATATTTTCACAATTATCAAGACTTTTTCATCAACTAGTCTATGGGAAAAAATATTTATTACATTACAACACACTTGAAATAAACTCCAGGAAGAGCTATTCAGCAAACCAATAATAAATAAACTCTAGTCAAGCTAAATAAAGCAGAAGTTTAATGCTTTTTTTTTTTTTTTTGTTTCCTTTTTATTTTCTTCGGCAGAGACGACGAAAATCGTACAAGACCTTAGTGATATTGCACCCTAAGGGATCCCAGCATAGTCGTGTAGAAATAGTCAAACATGGCGTAGCATTTTATTAAAATTTATTCTTTGCTTTACTGGTTTACTTTCTTTCTGCAGCATTTCTATAATTTTTTCCTGAATTCACTTTGGCCTCAACTACTCTCAAGAGAGGCTCAAGTGGAACAGCAAGCATAAATACAAAAAAGATTTTCCTTTCAGATTTTGGGTATGGTTTTGTTACACAAATTAATTCGTTTTGGCTTTAGGTGTCGGAAAAAACAATCTTTAACTTTTTTATTTACATTTTTTTTCTTTTGATTATGAATAATGTTCGCACGTCTGCATTGCGGAGAAACGTGGTCACAATGTGTACAATTAAAAAAATAGAAAAAACACAACAAGAAAGAAATATTTTTTTTTTATTATTATTATACATGCGGATGTGTATTGTTTTATATGGCCATTCGCTTGTAAAACAATTCTCATGAGAAAATATAGCGTGAATATTGTTATTGCTTGTTATATGTACACAGTTTTATATATGCACTTTAAGCAAAACATATAAAAAAATTCAATATAAAATGTTCACATTTCTAAAAGTGTGATTTTCTTTACGTATGTTTGCATGTCAGTCTTTATAATGTTACTTTAATTTGTTTTGTTTTTGCACTTTGCACGACGAGGCCAATGACTTTAAACTAAATTAAACCAAAATTGTTGGTGTGCTGCACTCGGCGCTATGGTTGTTCGGTCGGTGGCTACTATAAAAGCAACAAATTGTATTATGAATGTAATAATAAAAAAAATATATAAAAGTGAAAATGAAATCCATTAACTTTAGTGGACCGTAAGCTAGCAGCAGTTTCAGAATTCACGTACACAAGCATCTTACTGGATAGTGCTTAGCTCAATACACTATATATTTTTAATAGGTTGCTTAAACTACTTTCTTGTTTGCGC